CCTTCTCTTGCTGGCTCCTCAATCATCTGTGTCAGTAAGCTGTTGTCAAAGCACTATAGAAATCTTCTAGATTGCTTGAGCCTTGCTCTGCTGTTCTTCCAGCAGATATCAGCTATTGATATATCACATATTGACCTCCTGGCTCCTAGCTTGAACTAAAAAGTTACTCTTTACTTCCGTTCCTAACATCTGTCATGTTTACTAAAAAAGTAACTATATTTTGTATACAAATGCATAAAATTGATATAATCAACAGCAGCACATTTGCTCAGATAGGAGCACAGTCTCCATTATAGAACCCAAAACTGTAAACGCATTCATTCTAACAATATCCCAAGTCAGCATTTTATAGATAGAAAATAACTGAACCACTGGAAAACAAACTTCCAGAAGTTACCTTGAAACCTTTGGCACTGGGAATCACATGCAGGTGTTTCTGGTCCCACCTAATTTAGGGTTCAATACAACCAACTTCAAAGTTCAGCCTGGAGATAAAACCTCTCTCAGTGTCTAAATATCCACAGAGCATTTCGACTTAGGAACTTAGCCCAGAATTAATTCAAACATAAATTAATTTAAGGAAAGAAATTTAAAAAATTTAAATTAAATTAAGTTAATTAAAAGAAGCTAAATTGAAGAAGATTCCCTTCTGCATTTGTTTTTCACAGAGACTAATGCTCAAGCAGTGTGATTAAATGCAGACAGTCAAATTCATAAGGAACATGATCCGGATACTTACGTGTAGTTTCAGTTCCACGGAGGCCCTCGCTAGCAGCATTCGAGTATATGGCAAATACAGCTATCTGGTATTCAGTTAAAGACATCAGGTTCTTCAGAACTGCTGTTGATACGTTTCCATCTACCACCACCTGTTTAGAAGAAAATTCAACTAAATATTCATAGAGCAAACTAACTGTATTACCATCAAATCAATCCATCCTTCTTTCAGGCAATTTTTACAGGGGCATCTAAGAATCAATATACTAAAGTTCAACTCACAAATCAAATTTGCTTTTGCTATCTTAATGTACAGTAAGGTATCTGAAAAAAGAACAGAAATCATAGACATAATCAAAATGTTTAGCTGATATTAGTAGCCATTTAGAACAAAGGAATTGCTTTGATAAATAAAGTGTGTGGAATACAGTTTAAGAGCATAAATTGGGTACACCATCATAAATATTCCTTTAGTACTACATACATACACACACACACAAATCAACATTAATACATATCCATGCTAAACAAGTTTCTAGTACAAAAAGAAATAAAATATATGCTTAGTTAAATCCTTTTGCTTTTCTGCTTTCCCCTTCAATTTTGTAAGTTGCCAGCTGAAGCCAAAAGCTTGTTCTACTGCTTTTCCCCATCTCTAAAATGCTTAAGCCCTATTCAAATAAACACCTCTCTCCAAATTTTCAATGACTAGTTGTATATGGCCCAGAATATACACACCTGTATCATCTTCCTTTTATGAATTATTTTTTCTTAGAACTGAAAATCTGGCTTCCCATCAGCTCCTACCTCTTCTGTTCTTGTGAACAGAGTGGTGCAGGGGAAGTCTACAGAATTGGTTCAAGTAACCATACGTGTAAGCATAAATGCAGGCAGTTCACCCCACCTCCCAAAAGTGCTCATTGTTATAGCACATTTACTTTAAATTATTTAACAGAAAAGCAGTCTGGCTACTATATCTAACAATGCCCATCCATTGTGACCATATCTCCTTTCTGTACTGGGCTTCAGAGCCCACACAGGGAATTTAAGGGTAGATTTAGACCATGGATTTTCTGTTTCATTAGTTCTTGTGGTTGTATTACAAATTTCTGGGAAGCTTTTCTTCCTATTACCTCTTCCGGTTGTCCTCCTCGAGTGGGATAGTACACAACCCTGTATTTCTCCACTTTGCCTGGTGCATGGGTCCAGCTAACCCGGAATCCTCTAGCTGTTACCTCAGATGTGACCAACTCCGAAGGAGCCCCAAGTGAAGCAACAATTGTTCCTATGTTAGAGACAACACAAATTGTTTTATTTTCCTCTGCAAAATAATTATTTCGTTTGTTGTATTTGCTGAAGCTCCAAAGAGCATTCCTCATCAGAAAATCAAATAATTGGCTACTGCATATTTAGTTAGTTCATTTTCAGTGGAAACAAAGAACTAACAAGAATGAGTACCGCACATGGAGTTTTCACTGGGACTAAGCCTTCCTGGTCTTTCATAAACCTTTATATGAAAGAGACAAAAATACAAAACTAAGTTTTCCTGTCCTTCTTCCCATCACTCTTTCAAGCCCTTCCCTTCTGTTTGTTTTTTTCAGATTGCCTTCCTCCCAGTCACAAAAAACATCCAAGTACATATACAGCTGTGATCTCCTGTGCTCCTCTGCAGGTTGGAAACCGATATGCTGCCTGACAGCAGATTGAAGAGATGTAGCGAATGGTAATCTTCTCCGGCAATCATTCCTTTCCACAAAGATATCTCATCTCTCTACAGTTCTTCCATCCCCTCTCTCTCAATTTCTAAATTGACTGCTTACTGCCCCCACAAGACACGGCTAATATTCTGTATTTCTTCCAGTTTCTAGAAGAATAAAAGAGGAAGAAAATGGAATGAAGCCTTACTAATACACACTTTTTCATTGCACAGGTAGAAATATGTGTGAAAGACAGCCTTCCTTACTGATATATTTTATAAGCTTATTGAAAAGTCACTCAGCACTTCTGTGATATTACTGAATCACAAACGAAGCAATACAAACAAAATCCATCGAAGCCTTCCAAAGTAATTTCCTCAGGTAAGACTGTTTCTCTGGCAAATTGCGACAATTTTTCATACTATTTCTTTTGTTCAGAAAAGCAAAAAATACTGTAGTGAGATGCTTTTTTATATAAGAACAATTTTCTTCACCACCATCTTTTCTTATGCTCTGAAAGACATTTTTTTGTGTATTAAATAAGAAAGAGGAAAAAAAATCCATCATCAAGACAGAACAAAGCAATCTTAATGGTTGAAAATTTTGAAAACTTGTAAGACAATAAAACCAGTAAGTTAGAAGATAGAAAGCACAGCACAAACGTAACAATGGTTAGCAATTTGCTACTCCACTTAGACACACACAAGTCCATGGGGCTGAGTGGGATCTACCCAATGGTACTGAGGGAACTGGCCAAAGTGCTCACCAAGCCACTTTCAATCATTTACCAGCAGTCTGCGCTAACCAGGGAGGTCCCAGTTGACTGGACATCAGCAAATGTGACGCTCAACTGGAAGAAGGGCCAGAAGGAGGATCTAGGGAACTACAAGCCTGTCAGTCTCACCTCAGTGCTGAGGAAGGTTATGGAGCAGATCATCTTGAGTGCCATCAAGTGGCACGTACAGGATGACCAGGTGACCAGGCCCAGTCAGCAGGGGTTTATGAAAGGCAGATCCTGCTTGACTAACTTGCTCTCCTTCTGTGACAAGGTGGCATGCTCAGTGGATGAGGGAAAGGCTGTGGATGTTGTCTACATAGACTTTAATAAAGTCTTTGACACCATTTCCTACAGCATTCTTCTGGAGAAACTGGCTGTTCATGGCTTGGACGAGTGTACGCTTCCCTAGGTTAAAAACTAACTGGACGGCCGGGCCCAAAGAGTTGCGGTGAATGGAGTTAAATCCAGTTAGTGGCCAGCCAGAAGTGGTGTTCCCCAGGGCTCAGTACCGGGGCCAGTTCTGTTTAATATCTTTATCAATGATCAATGGATGAGGGGATCGAGTGCACCCTCATTAAGTCTGCAGATGACACCAAGTTGCACAGGAGTGTTGGTCTGCTTGAGAGTAGGAAGGCTCTACAGAGGGATCTGGACAGGCTGGATCAATGGGCTGAGGCCAATTGTATGAGGTTCAACAGGCTGAGAGCTGGATCCTGCTCTTGGGTCACAACAACCCAATGCAATGCTACACGCTTGGAGAAGAGTGGCTGGAAAGCTGGCTGGTGGAAAAGGACCTGGGGATGTTGGTCAATAGCCAGCTGAATATGAGCCAGCGGTGTGCCCAGGTGGCCAAGAAGGCCAATGGCATCCTGGCCTGTATCAGAAATAGTGTGGCCAGCAGGACTAGGGGAGTGATCATCCATGCCCTTGTACTTGGCACTGGTGAGGCCGCACCTCCAATGCTGCGTTCAGTTTTGGGTCCCTCACTACAAGAAAGACATTGAGGTGCTGGAGTGTGTCCAAAGAAGAGCAATGAAGCTGGTGAAGAGTCTAGAGCACAAGTCTTCTGAGTAGCAGCTGGGATTGTTTAGTCTGGAGAAAAGGAGGCTCAGAGGAGACCTTATTGCTCTCTACAATCACTTGAAAGGAGGTTGTAGAGAGGTGGGCATCAGTCTCTTCTCCAAAGCAACAAGCAATAGGACAAGAGGAAACGGTCTGAAGTTGTGGCAGGGGAGGTTTAGATTGGATATTAGGAAAAATTTCTTCACTGAAAGGTTTGTCAAGCATTGGAATAGGCTGCCCAGGGAAGTGGTTGAGTCACCATCCCTGGAGGTATTTAAAAGACATGTAGATGTGGTGCTTGGGGACATGGTTTAGTGGTGGACTTGGCAGTGTTAGGTTAATGGTTTGACTTGATGATCTTAAAGTTCTTTTCCAACCTAAACGATTCTATGAATTCCATGTGCAGCTGTTAAAGTAATTCATCCCCAAATCTGTATATTATAAAAAAAAATTTCCTTACCCACTGCTTGCAAATAGTTACAGCAGAATGAATGTATATTTTTGTATTTTTTGGTACTACCAAATACCATAATATTTACCACTACCAAAGACAGAGAGTAAAAGATCAAAGATATCAAAGCAAGAATAATACATACCTAGGAAGATAACTTTCCTGACAATGTACTTTATTTTCAGCAAAAGAATATACAGCATGAGTAAAGTGCCACAAGCCAGCTAGAACTGGAGGTATTTAGAGTAAGATTTGTAGCTCTAAGTTCATATTAAGTCACATTAGATCTGGTTTCTTACTCACTCTTGATTTCCTTTTCCTGTTCCTCTACTCGTGAGCACACTGTTCTGGTCAGACCTTCAACAATGGTATGCATGAAGTTAAAGTCAGCAACGTTGTAGACATGTGTGCTGTCAGGTTCAGAGGCAATTTCTTTGAGTTCATTTATATCTGCATTCTTTACACCTTTCATTGGAAAGAAAAATAAAGAAAATATTTGCAACAAGAAAGAAAAAATCTTGTATGCACACGGATTGATAAAAAATTACTAAAATCCTATTCTTTCTATTTGTTTAAATGACCAACTACAGATTGCTCTGTCATTAAGATGTTAATTCAAGACGTTAATTTCTGCCAGCATAACTGGTATTTTTTCAGCTATCTCCTGATAATGTAGCATCCATGTACACTGTTAAATTCCAGTTATAGCAGCAATGAATTTGAGAACATATTAAAGAAGATTTAAATTAATGACGACACTTGACAGACACAAAAGAACACTTCCTTAATATAGAAGGCAACAGATACAAATACACCAGAGTATAACAGGACACAGTACACAGATATGGCAGAATACACACCAATAGCAAACAGCTCAATGCCAGCATCTCGTAGGTTTTTAGCAGGAGGGATAACATCATCTTGGGACTTCCCATCAGTGATCAGTATGCCGATTTTAGATACGCCAGGCCTTGCGCCTGCTTCAGGCTTAAAGCTGTTCTCCAAAATGTAAGTTAAGGCAAGACCTAAAAGAAGAAACATTTTAAAATACTTTAAAAGGAAAAAAGTTCATTAATTTTGCTAATATCACAGTGTTTGTCTTTCCATTCAATTTAAAAGTCCTGAGAAATGAAGAGTTTATTTACTGAAAGATTAGATTTCAACAAGCAACCTAAACTACAGAGGAGATGACATTCATCTTTAGCAGCCTTTTGGTCAATCAACGTATTTTAAACTGGCTATGGAAACCTAAACTGATCTTCCTGTGAATGCATCAGCTTTTCTTTCTTACTCCACAAAGCTGGAATATGAAGTCTCCTCTCCTACCTACATTGTTGATATGAAAGCACATGCTTTGAATAGCTTAGTAAATCCCCATACTATGTACAATCTTACTTTGTTTGTTTGCTCTTTCCAATTTACGAGCTGAAGAAAAGCTTAAATAAAGCTTAGGGATAATCTGATTTCTAATTATTTAAAGTGAAGGAACAAGAACAACTCTTCAGGACAAACTTACACATCACAATGTGATCCTGAGAACTTACTACTTGCTACTTCACAGTAATCTCATTCCTAGAATCATACTAAAGTCCTTCTGTCCTTTATTCCACTGCAATCACTCCTTCTATCAAAACAAAGGCTGTTGCAGAAGGGAAGGAAAAACTTTCACATACTTTTTCCCCACAAAAAAAAAAAAAAAAAGAAAAGTAGAAAAAAAAGGAAGGCAGCAATTTACTTAAAGCTGTGTCTGGGTCTTTGGATGTATCATTCTCCTGGCAAGACAGCTAATATTACTAACTACTGCTTTGATGATACTGGAGTTGTATTCAGAGATTGTATTTTTCCCAGGTTGACAGGCATCCCGCAATTATCCATCACTAAGTGTCTTGTGGGGCTTCAGTGCTCTCACTACTAAAAGGTCAATGGAAATCTAAAAGCCCCAGGTAATCATTTGAAAAGTTACTATTGCCAGTTGTCAGATATTAAAACAAAATTCTTTCCTTCCCCAGAATAAAGCTCTATGCATAAATGTCATGAATGGATTTTGCATTTTCTTCCTAGCAGGTAAAAGATTTTACTTCCAGCACTGAGAATTCATGTACACTTCGTTTTATGAGACCCTGTCCTTACCAGAAAGATTCCCAGTGAAGCCAATGAGACAAGCGCTTCAGAAAAGACTTCACTGGCACTGGATAAAGCCATTAGCAGCTGCAAAAACCATATCCTTTTTACTCTTCATAATAAGCATTAACACTTCTTAGTCTGTGCAGCAGAATATGTTTCTTAATAAAAGGCAAAAGCTAAAACATGCACTGTACCTGTTAATGTATTCCCTCCCTTATACGGTAGATTACGGACTGCATCCAAAACAGCATCTTTTGTGCCATAGGCATTCAAATGCCATTCAATTCGGGGATCACCACTGTACTGTGCAAGACCTGAAGACCCAGAAATTAAGGTAATCCATTAGACAATAAAGCACTTTTTTTTCCAAGTATCTACATTTTACATACTTGGTTACCAACAGCTTACCATAGCGAGCTTACTGTAAGTAGCTTTGCTACCATACTAGAAAAAATGCATTGCTTGATAGCAAAAAAATAGTGAAAAGTTGTTCTCAGTGGCAACTCCTCAATGTATTTTCAAAGCCTTTCTTTCAAGTGCTAAGGAAAGTAAATGAGATGGAGTACATAACTTTTTCAGAGTTTAGTAAGATTTCAATAAATTGTTTTTTGATTAAAAAAAAACATCTCTGGAGGTGTTCAAAGCCAGGTTGAATGAGGATTTGAGCAACCTGACCTAGTGGAAGGTGTCCCTGCCCATGGCAAAGGCATTGGAACTAGATGATCTTTAAGGTCCCTTCCAACCCAAACCATCCTAAGATTCTGTGATTTACCTCGGCTGAGTATCGCAGTAAACTATGAGGAATTAATATTACAAACATTTCAGCAGCATTACTCTTATGCTAGAAGTCCTAGTTCCAAGTGAGGATGAATCTTGCACAAATAAGTAGTATTAAGCTGTTAACTATCCTGAAATCATGAAATTTCTACATTGCCACAAAAACAATAAGAAAAAATATGGCACCGTACCTACTCTTGTCTTCTCAGATCCCACATTGAAAGCAGAAACGAGATTCTCCAGGAACAGTCGAACGAGTCTGAAATTGAATCTGCCAATACTCCAAGAACCATCTACCAGTATCACAATATCTGCAATTGCTGGAGTTTTACAGGTAAACAGACTTCCTGTAAATCATTAAAATGAAAACAATATTGTTAATTCAACAATAAAATTGTAATCAATAAATTATCCCTTCCTCCTCCCACTAAGCTTAAGACTTATAGCTTTCTTCTATGGACAAAGTGAGAAATAAGCAAAATCACTAAACGTATTTGTTCCAAATTCAGTAATAGAACAGTTTGGCCATTATCTACTTCAGTTCTTTCGTTGAAAAAGAAATGTTCCTTCTAAAAATACAATACCTCAGAAAGAAAAAAATTAATTGTCATATAACACAATCAAACCAGCAATTCATTATCATTCTCAAGAATGTACGTACACAGTATACAGCTCATGACACTTTGGTGTAGACAATGCAGAGAGAGCTACCTAGAGATGCAGACATCCAAAACAGTTATCAAGATCTCTTTTATTGTCAACATAGAAAAGTAGGAGTTTCTATACATCTCAACAACTCTGTAGAAAAACTTCTTTAGTTGCCATTGTAGACTTCTAAACTTAGAAGGGAATCTCACCCTGGAAGACTACAGTAAAACTGAAGGTCAATTGAATATGCTGTATTAAACCTAAGCAGGAGGCACTCAATGCAGCAAAGGTAAAATGCAAAGACTTCAGATTCAAATTCACAATCTCTATGAGAACTAGCACCACATGAAGATTTAGTCTTACAGATATATGGTAAAGTACACAAAAATAAAAGAGGATTAAAAAAGCAACACAAAAAACCTGATGAGAATTAGCAGAGATGCGTATTAATAGTCTCTAAGGTTTAGCTAGCCAATGGGGAAATCAGAGGAAATGGGAGTAGAGATTAGACATAAATTGCAAGATAAGCTAACTGAGGTTTTTACGGATACAGATTCTTAAGAAATTGAGAAGCCTAAACAAAGTGTCACGTTCAGTTCAAGAAAATGACAGGAAGGGAAGTTAAAAAAAAAAATAAAAAAAAAAGAGGCTTCCATAACCTCAGACAGAATTGCCACATCACACAGAAGTGGCTGCATGACTGTAAAAGGAAGGTTGCTGAAACAGTGGATTCAACGTTGTAGGGAGGGAAAATGAATGAGTGATG